ACCAAGTCATCCCAGTTTGCCCACAACTTGCCCTGTTTTAACACTGAAAATCTCATGCCCTGGGAACCCTCTTGGTCCCAGGCACACTGGGGTCGTTGGTACTGTGTCAAAAGCTGAAGTGAGGATTTGGATGCTATATTCAGTGAATCAGAGTAATGGTTTCCTGTTTGAAAGTAAAGTTTCCAGAATGAGATGCATAATTTGTACTCTCTGAAATGTATAAAGATAACCTTGTGGAAACCAGAGGCATCAGAGATTTGCCGAAGGTCACACAATTCAGGGGTGGTAGAGTCCAACCCAACCTTGATTTTCAATTTTGATTCAAAGCTATTTCCATTCCCTTTATACTACTACCTTTGTTTGCCTTTACAGGAAATATAAACTGGGTTTTAATTGGTGAAGACAGTTGGAAACAGAAGCATAGGAAAAATTAAACTTTGGTGCTGAACCAGGATAGTAGGATTATTAAAAAGGAAAAGGTACCATGCAAATGCAGCATTAAACTACTTTCTTATGTGCAAGATAAGATTCTTACCTGATGAATATTCTATAGTGTATTGCTCCTGCCAGAACATGATGTATAAGGTATCAATTGATGAAATCAACTCTGAAATGTTTTTTAGGGCCCAGTTTAGAGAAAAGTGAATTATGCTTCAAGAGTCAACATTTATTCAGACTGCAAATGTTTGATATGTTTTCCATTTCTATCAAAAACAATAGATGGCTATAAATCCTCAGAAATTGATAAGGATGCAGGAAACTTTGGAAGAAAGATTAAATTTCCTTCAGAAAAGTAAATAGAAGTCCTTTCACGTTACAGGTCAACTGCATATTTGTAGCTTTTATTAGCATTTCTAAGTCATAGCAGAATGATTCTGGGTGGCTGCCAGGATGGTACAGCCCCAGTTTGAGTTTTATCATCACATGGCGATGTATTATTGAATTTGGCAATGAGGTTTTTAAGAGACTTCTTGTTTCTCTAAGTCCCTATAGAAATAATACCATTTGGTTTCATCCAAAGTAGCTAAAAACTTCCCTATCTGATGAAACCTCTGGGTAGGTAAGAAAAGGCTTTCTAGATATTGTGACAATTCATTTCCTGAATTAAAATGTCATTTAGCAAATATTTATTTGTATATTGGTTATTTATTTTTTATTGAGGTACGGTTGATTTACAATATTGTGTCAGTTTTGGCTGTACAGCATAATGATTCAGTATTTTTGAAGATTATATTCCATTTTAGGTTATTACAACATATTCGGTATAATTCCCTGTGCTGTACAGTAACTTATCTATTACTGTTGCTTATCTATTTTATGTGTAGTAATTTGTATCTGTTGATCCCATACCCTTAATTTGTCCTTCCACCCCTTTTTGGTAATGACAAGTTTGTTTTCTATGTCTGTAAGTCAGTTTCTGTTTTGTATAAACATTCATTTGTATTATTTTTAGATTCCACATATAAGTGATATATAGTATTTGTCGTTCTCTGTCTGACATCACTAAGTATAATATACTCTTCGCTAAGTATAATAGGTCTTTCCATGTTGCTGCCAATGACAGTATTTCATTCTTTCTGTGGCTGAGTAATATTCCATTATATATACATATATATATATTCCATTATATATACATATATATATACATGTATATATATACATATATATACATATATATGTATATATAATATACACAGGTGTGTATTCATATGTGTTTATGTGTGTGTGTGTATATATATATATATATATATATATATATCTAGAGAGAGAGAGAGAGAGAGAGAGAGAGAGAGAGAGAGTTGTGTTCATGTCTTGACTATTGTAAATAATGCTGCTGTGAACAACACAGGGGTGCATGTATCTATTTGATGTAGTGATTTTTGTTTTTTCTGGATGTACACCCAGAGTGGAATTGCTGGATCATATAGTAGCTCTATTTTTAGTTTTTTAAGGAACTCCATATGTTTTCCATAGTGGCTACACAAATTTACATTCCACCAACATTGTACGAGCTTCGCTTTTCTCCAACATTTGTTGATGTAGGCCATTCTGACAGGTGTGAGGTGATACCTCATTCTGGTTTTGATTTGCATTTCTCTAATAATCAGTGACATTGAGCATCTTTTCATGTGCCTCTTGGCCATCTGTATGTCTTCTCTGGAAAAATATCTATTTAAGTCTTCTGCCCATTTTTTGATTGGGCTGTTTTTTTTTGATATTGAGTTGTATCAGCTGTTTGTATATTTCAGATAATCACTCCTTATTGGTCGCATCATTTGCAAATATTTTCTCCCATCCCATAGGTTGTCTTTTCATTTGGTTGATGGTTTCCTTTGCAGTGCAAAACTTTTAATTAGGTACCCTTTGTTTATTTTTGCTTTTATTCCTTCTACTTTGGGAGACTGATCCAAGAAAATATTGCTACAACTTATGTCAAAGAGTGTTTCACCTATGTTCTCTTCTAGGAGTTGTTTGGTTTCATGTCTTACATTTAGATCTTTAAACCATTTTGAGTGTGAGTGAATATTCTAATTTTCATTGTTTTACATGTAGCTGTCCAGCTTTCCCAACACTACATGCTGAAGAGACTGTTTTCTCCATTGTATATTCTTGCCTTCTCTGTCATAGATTAATTGACCGTAGGTGTGTGGGTTTATTTCTGGTCTCTCTGTTCTGTTCCAATGATCTTCATGTCTGTTTTTTTGCTAATACCATGCAGTCTTGATTACTGTAGCTTTGTAGTGTAGTCTGAAGTCTGGGAGGGTTATACCTCCAGCTTTGTTCTTTTTTCTCAGAATTGCTTTGGCAAATTGGGGTCTTTTGTGCTTCCATATAAATTTTATGATTATTTGCTCAAGTTCAGTGAAAAATGTCCTGGGTATTTTTATAGAGATTGCATTAAATATGTAGATTGTTTTCAGCAATATGGCCATTTTAATAATGTTGATTCTTCTAAGCCAAAAGCATGGGATAGCTTTCCATTTCTTTAAATCATCTTCGACTTCCTTCATTAATGTCTTATAGTTTTCAGCATATTGGTCTTTCACTTCCTTGGTTAAGTTTATTCCAAAGTATTTTTTTTGATGTGATTTTATTTTTTTACTTTTCTTTTTGATATTTCATTATTGGTGTACAGAAATGCAACAGATTTCTGTATATTAATTTTGTATCCTGCAACCTTGCTGAATTCATTTATTAGTTCTAATAGTTTTGGGGTGGAAACTTTAGGGTTCTCTATATAGAGTATCATTTCTTCTGCAAATAGTGACAGTTTTACCTCTTCCCTTACAATTTGGATAACTTCTATTTCTTTTTCTTGTCTAATTGCTGTATCTAGGACTTCAAATACCGTGTTAAATAGAAGCAGTGAGAGTGGGCATCCTTGTCTTGCTCCAGATTTTAGTGGGAAGGCTTTCAGCTTTTCACCATGGAGTGTTGTGTTGGCTGTGGGTATATCAGTTATTCAATCTAAAAATAAAATCCACATAAAAGTGATTTGAAAGCTTAGTGAGTTGATCAGATGGTTCATTACTTTGTTACTGAGGTTCCAGATCTCAGCTTTTCCTAGGAATAACCCTAATTTTCATAGTCTTGCCAGCTGCACTCCACATCACAGAGGCAAAGACAAAACAGAAGGCATTGCTATATTGCATGATGACTAATGGGCCATGTGAGAGTTTAAATTTGTTTTCTTCTCCAAAAGATTTGGAGCAGAATTTTTTTCTAAAATTAAATTATGTCCCATATAAAATACAAAGATAACTGAGGTCTAGAAAAAAATCCCTTGGCTTATTAAGAAGTATGAAAAGAGTTCTTAGGGGTATTGAAAGGAATATTGGTTTTGGAAATTAAGGATTTGCTTGGAGTCCTGCCTTTACCATAACTAGTTACCTTACCTTCAGTAAAACTTTGGCATCTCTGAAGTCCATCATGTGAGAAAGAGGATAATAATCCAACTCATAGTTATTGAAAAGATGAAAGCATCTTTAATGCATGTTGTAATGCATTAAAAAAGTTATTTTTGTTTTCTGTTAGTAAACTCTTCCAAGTTAGATTCTCTTTTTTTCCTGGACCCAAAATAACTGTAAGCTCACAATGAAATGTGTTAATAGCTGAGGCTGTGCAATCTCAAAATAGTGATAGTATGTCTTTTGTATTTAGATAGCAACATCTGCTCTATAGTGTTTGTCTTTTGGTCTTTTAAAAAAATATTGTATTTTCAATGTCAATTTTAGCAGGTATGGGTTGAAAATAACCTCTCACAATAAACAGAAATAGCTGACAATAAAATTAGCATGATTTCGTCAGTTGGTACAATCCATGCAACTGACAGATCAGCTTCTATCACTTTGGCAAATCCTTTACTTACTAGTTATTTCCATCTATAGCACACAAATGTTTAATTCATTCATTCAGAATCTTTCAAGTCGTGATTGTTCAATGTTTACTTCAAGTTTTGGCTTTGATTAATAAATCACTCCCTTACCTCCGAGATTTTTTTTTTTTTTTTTTTGCTGTACGTGGGCGTCTCCCTGTTGTGGCCTCTCCCATTGCAGAGCACAGGCTCCGGACACGCAGGCTCAGCGGCCATGGCTCACGGGCCCAGCCGCTCTGCGGCACGTGGGATCATTCTGGGACCAGGGCACGAACCCGTGTCCCCTGCGTCGGCAGGCGGACTCTCAACCACTGCGCCACCAGGGAAGCCCCGAGATTTCATTTTTAAAAACCTTTCTTTCCTCCTAAAGGATGGTTTCCTGACCTATCAGATGGAACCATAACAAATTGCAAACTTTGATCGCAATAAGTTAGGAATTTTTAATTGTAGCCCAACTTCAAAAACAAAGGCTGGCAAAGATCATTTTTCCTGATCTCAGTAAATTCTTGGATTTTTGAGCTCTAGAATGAACGGGAGACCCTTTCATCTTCAGCTGTTGAGGACACGTGCACTCAGGAAGGGACTAATGTGGCTTGTGGTTCTCTCTGGTTGTTTTTCTCCCCAGCAGCGCCTCTGAGCTCACTTAAACCTCCGAGAGTGGACACTGCTCCAGTGGTCTCATCTCCCTATCAAAGAAGAGATTCAGACAGATACTGTGGGCTCTGTGCAGCCTGGTTTAACAATCCTCTGATGGCCCAGCAACATTATGATGGCAAGAAACACAAAAAGAATGCAGCAAGGGTTGCTTTGTTAGAACAGCTTGGGACAACTCTGGATACGGGGGAATTAAGAGGTAAGAGAAACTCTTCTGATTTCTGCCACAGAACTGGGCTTTCAGAGAAAGTGTTTTCATAAACTGGGATGCTTCTTCCTATTGCTTTGCTTTTACTAAGGACAATTCTAGGATCCTCCAAAAGGAATAGAGGAAAAAGGAAATGAACAGAAAACTAATTTTTTCCGTCTCCTTTCTTTCAAAGTATTTGTGATTGCCATATTTTTATTGACTATGTTTCAGATCAAAACCACCCACTCATGAACCAGAGTTTTTCCTTCTGCTTTATCTTTAAACACCTTCTGGAATGAATGCTTTTGTATGTGAGCAGTACAAGAGCAGATGCAAAAAAGGCCAAATGGTGTTATCTTAATTTTAAACTTTTGTGCTTTTATGAATTCAGCCAAAACAAAGCAACACATTGGCTCCATTTCATGGATGAAATTAAGCCCAAGGCCTTTTCATGGGCATATCTAAGAAGCTGAGGTAAGACAGTGCTGTGGACCACTATAGAATCAATACCTGGCTCCCCCCATCCCCCATCTGTTACGTATTTTCTCGGTTGATGGAAACCAGGGAGCATTTGAAGTTCATGTGAGGTTTTACAGAAGTTGCTGAGTGGAGACTTGGAATCATAGGGTGAGGATCAATCCTATGGATTCCTGAGGAAGCCACATACCATTCTGTGGAAGCTAATAGAATATTTCATCATCAACAACCATTTAAACAGTTTTTGATCACTTAAACCATTTTGATCAACTGATGTTGGCAGTGGTTTAGATATACTTTTAGGAGTTGGCCAGGAGATCATCCATCATAATAGCTGTAATAACAAAATTTACAAGTCAGTTCTGAGAGTGCAACCTGGGTTTGAGCTGGGTTCGGTATGTAGAGCCTGCAATTCTTATTACCCTTACCAGGCTGTGAGCCTCCAAGGGAAAATAACCTGGTATAATTCTAGACCAAATAAATGGGACGGAAGATCTTGCTGTGTGACCTGACAGGAGGGACAGGTCACTTCTGATTATGTTGGTTGGGGAAGACTTCACCAAAGAAAAGGACTGGAGTTGGAACTAGAAAGGTGGGTGGTCTTTTAGCAGGTGAGAAGGCATCCCACGTGAGCAGAATCATATATGTTTAGGCAAAAGAGAGGAAAACATAAGCTGTTGCTGGTGAATAAACAGATTATCATAGAAGAATCCTATCATACAGCATAGATTTAAGACTGCAGGTCCATTAGGAGATCTATGGAGCTTGATGAGAGACTGACTTTTCCAAGATAATGATTAAAAACAGCAAATGAGAGCAAAGAGCAAAAACGCTGTTTTTGTGGAGGTTTTCTAGCTCTAGAGAAACAACATCGAGCTTAATATTTCAGTATGTTGGATAATCATGTTGCAAATGCTTTTGAATTGTTGGTACTCTTGCTGTCTGCTGGGGAATTTCTTGTGTTCATAGTCTCTGTCTTGTTAAAAATACAGGAGGAGTATTTTTTAGCTGAAGGCCTCCCATGTCTCGCTGTTCCTGGCAGATAACAAGTCTGCTCAGCGACTCCTTCATGGCAGGCACTGAAGGGGAAAAATAGGGCTTTATTTATGTTTTGTGCCAGATATTATGACTTGTAGAATTATTCCTAGAGCACATTCTTCTTGTCTGTTTTGAATTATCGGTGCCGCATCTTTTAGGTACAACGACGTCTTAATGACTTGGGAGTCTGAATTCTGTAACATTTGAGTGGTTTGTCTTTTATCCCAAAGACAAAAACGGCTGCTCTTGGACTTGATAACTCAATGTGATTCTGACTCAGTAGCACATGAAATGTGATTAGCATTGAACACAGCGTCTTTGAAAGCGACCTTTTCACCCACCCCAGGTGACATCTTGATGTATATGTATTCAGGCATTAAATATTGCAGAAGTTTAGGGAATAAAGCAATGTTGATAACCTAGCATGTTTTAAAACGCGCGTGCGCGCACACACACACACACACACACACACACACACACACACACAGAGTCTCCTGTTTCTGGAACGCTTCTAGTGCATGGTCGATCAATTAATAAAGGCAAAAATGCTAACCAGTAAATACAGGCATATCCATAACTTTTAAAAAACTGGTGTCAAGCAGCTGGAGGATGACAGTGTCACAGGTTTCCTCTCCTTCTTAGCACTTCTCAGTTTTTAATTTTTTAATTTAATGTTATTTTTTTGGCCGTGTGGCCTGTGGGATCTTAGTTCCCCGACCAGAGATCGACCCCTGCACTGGAAGCATGGAGTCTTAACCGCTGGACCGCCAGGGAAGTCCCAGCACTTCTCAGTAAAACACTTACATCATTTACCGGTTTATTATGGTTTTCCTGATTTCTCCCTACTCACCCTATAGACTGTTAGCAACTTGAAAGCAGGAATCTATGTCTGCTTTGCCCACTGATGTGTTCAAAAACACCTAGAACAGTGACAGACACAGAGTAGGTACTCAATAAAATTGCTGAATGAATGAATAAACAGAGAAGTCAAAATTTAAAAATCACCTTAAATCCTGCATTTTCTAACATGGCAATCCTTTTCATTTCCCAAAGGATCCTGATTGAATAATTTTTACAAAAAATTATTTATGATTTTTTCTTCTAATTTAAAAAGACGATGTATGTTTTATATATTGTGAAAAGCAGAGATATTAAGTGTTATATAGTTCACTGAGTGTAACCCACGCTCCTACCAAGATCCATAACTTTTCCATCATGACGTCATTCCCACGGGCCCCATTTCAGTCAATCCAAACTTCCCATTCCAGGGAACCACTTTTCTTATTTCTTTCACCAAAATTTAGTTTTGCCTGCTCTAAGATTTCATATAATTGTCACAGAAAGTATGTATTTTTCTGTGTCTAGCTTCTCATATTGTTTTTTTTTTTTTTTGCGATACACGGGCCTCTCACGGTTGTGGCCTCTCCCGTTGCGGAGCACAGGCTCCGGACGCGCAGGCTCAGCGGCCATGGCTCACGGACCCAGCCGCTCTGCGGCATGTGGGATCCTCCCGGACATGGGCACAAACCCGCATCCCCTGCATCGGCAGGCGGACTCTCAACCACTGTGCCACCAGGGAAGCCCTCATATTGTTTTTGAGATGTATCCATTTGTTGCATAAAAAGCAGAGTAGCCCCTTGCTCTTTATCAGGGAGTGGTTTTCTTCTAGACAGAAATCCCACAATATGTCTAGCCATTCTCCTCTTGACTTTTTTGGTGCTATTTTGAATAAGGCTTTCATGAACATTCTTTTTGTTGTTGTTGTTGACAGATGTTTTTACTTCTCTTGTTAAATACCTCAGAGTAGAATTGCTGGGTCATAGTCATAAGTTGGGTGTATTTTTAACTAAACAAGAAACTGCCAAAATGTTTTCCAAAGTAGCTGCATTATTTTGCACACCCTAAAGCAACATATATGAATTCCATATCCTCACCAACATTTGTTTTTATCAGTCTTTCAAATATTAGTCATTCTAGTGGGTGTAGGAGAGTATTTCATTATGGCTTTAATCTGTGTTTCCATGTTGACTAATTATGTCAAACACTTTAAAATGTTGGTCATTTGTATATCTTCCTTTGTGAAATGTCTGTTCATGTCTTTTGCCTATTTTAAAAAATTGGCTATCTGCCTCTTTATTTATTTAATTTTTTAAACATCTTTATTGGAGTATAATTGCTTTACAATGGTGTGTTAGTTTTTGCTGTATAACAAAGTGAATCAGCTATACGTATACATACATCCCCATATCTCCTCCCTCTTGCATCTCCCTCCTACCCTCCCTATCCCAACCCTCTAGGTGATCACAAAGCACGAAGCCGATCTCCCTGTGCTATGTGGCTGCTTCCCACTAGCTATCTGTTTCACATTAGGGAGTGTATGTATGTCCATGCCACTCTCTCACTTCGTCCCAGCTTACCCTTCCCCTTCCCGGTATCCTCAAGTCCATTCTCTACATCTGCATCTTTATTCCTGTCCTGCCCCTAGGTTTTTCAGAACCATTTTTTTTTTTTTTTTTTTAGATTCCATATATATGTGTTAGCATACGGCATTTGTTTTTCTCTTTCTGACTTACTTCACTCTGTATGACAGACTCTAGGTCCATCCACCTCATTACAAATAACTCAATTTCATTTCTTTTTATGGCTGAGTAATATTCCATTATATATATGTGCCACATCTTCTTTATCCATTCATCTGTTGATGGACACTTAGGTTGTTTCCATGTCCTGGCTGTTGTAAATAGAGCTGCAGTGAACACTGTGGTACATGACTCTTTTTGAATTATGGTTTTCTCAGGGTATATGCCCAGTAGTGGGATTGCTGAGTTATATGGTAGTTCTACTTTTAGTTTTTTAAGGAACCTCCATACTGTTCTCCACAGTGGCTGTATCAATTTACATTCCCACCAACAGTGCAAGAGGGTTCCTTTTTCACCAAACCCTCCCCAGCATTTATTGTTTATAGATTTTTTGATGATGGCCATTCTGACCGGTGTGAGGCGATACCTCACTGTTGCTTTGATTTGTGTTTGTCTAATGATTAGTGATGTTGAGCATCCTTTCATGTGTTTGGCGGCAATCTATATATCTTCTTTGGAGAAATGTCTATTTACGTCTTTCGCCCATTTTTGGATTGGGTTGTTTGTTATTTTGATATTGAGCTGCATGAGCTGCTTGTATATTTTGGAGATTTATCCTTTGTCAGTTGCTTCATTTGCAAATGTTTTCTCCCATTCTGAGGGCTGTCTTTTCGTCTTGTTTATGGTTTCCTTTGCTGTGCAAAAGCTTTTAAGTTTCATTAGGTCCCATTTGTTCATTTTTGTTTTTATTTCCATTACTCTAGGAGGTGGGTCAAAAAGGATCTTGCTGTGATTTATGTCATGGAGTGTTCTGCCTATGTTTTCCTCTAAGAGTTTTATAGTGTCTGGCCTTACATTGAGGTCTCTAATCCATTTTGAGTTTATTTTTGTGTATGGTGTTAAGGAGTGTTCTAA